TGCACATTTCCTCCACTTTAACTGGCCTATTCGAAAATCTATCTTTACATCTCTCTCCAAAGATTTTACACCTCTCCTACTATTTCAACTTTTCTCTTTCCCAGAGGATTGAAAGTTCATCAGACGAGCGTGATGCCCTTTTGTATAAACACAGGAACTCTGACCAACTAGTTCTACAAGAAGGATCAGCCTCAGGGAAAATGAAGAGGAAAAGGAGAAAAGACTAAGATGGCATTTCTTTAACCTGAAGTGAGATTTGGAAAACACTGTAACAGATATTTATCCCACCTTGGAAAACAACACTTTTAGGGTAGGAAGTCACATGCTGTAAAAACTTATAACCACTACAATCACAAGAGGAACAGTAAGAAGAATTAGTTTGATCACAGAATATATTCGAACCAGGAAAAAAAAAGTCTAGTGCAAAGTAAACAAGGTACAGAGCTATAAAGTTTGAATGTTTTGAATAATAACAACAACAAACAAACAAAACAAAACAACTCCAGCTACTGTTCAAAACAATGAGAGAGACAGACAGACAGACAGACAGACAGACAGAAGCAATGTTGCACCATAAACACAGAAACATGACCTGGTCTTGCTATGTATGGGTCTGGCTTTTATGTAGGTCTGGGTATTTGAACTCAGGTCCTTACACCTGCACCTTAACAAGTGCTTTTACACACTGAGCTATCTCCTTAGCTCCTGACTTGATATCATTTAACACGTATAAAGTTCACAAAGGGTAGTTACTGAAAAACGTTCTTCCCTGTCCCGTCAAGCACAGGCTGACTGCTCTCAGATGTGGGACAACGACATGCTCCAGTCTACGTGGCCCTCACTACACTGTGATGTGCACAGACTCTTGAGAGTGACATCCTTGTGAGGTGGGCACGTTTTCAGGTACTCAACAAGTGCTGGCTGAGGACCTACATGTGAGGAATAAGATTTGTTCCCTTATCTCATGAAGTTTGCTGTCTATGTGGATGCCACTCAACCAACAACTACACGAGTAGAAACTGGAGTAACTCACTGCAATGAAGAGAAATAACAGAGGACTATGAGGAAAAAAAATCAAAGAGGGCTCTAACTCCAGGGGCCGGGACAGAGTTCAGAGTCAGAAAGACCTGAAAACTGGGAGAGTGACTGCTTCGTGTGCACCAGGCCCTTGGTCTGACCCCCAGCACCTGATCAACATAATCCCGCACCCAAGAGGTGGCGACAGGAGGATCAAGAATGAGTTCAAGGTCATCCTCAGCTACACACAGAGTTCTAGGCTACAGACCCTATCTCAAAGCAAAATAAAAAAGACTTCTTTGTAGAACTGTCTCACTCCTTTCTCGATGTGCAAGTCATCAGACGCTGGCATGGGGCTTGTTTGATGATATGAGCAGATGGACTGACGTGTGTGAGACTTACCAGTAGGAGTAGTTACCAGCTTGGTTGTCATGATTGCACCGTTACTGCTAACCACCATAATAGGGGAATTGCTACTGGTGGGTAGAGTTGCAGTCACTGGTTTGGGTAAGATTTTACTTGGTTGAACCTGCTGTGTGATGATTTTAACACCTTTGAAAGAAAAAAGATAAATCTCAGTACAATTAATTGTAAAAGAATGCCACTTAGCCCAACAGGGCAACAGTTACACATGTCTACTGAGTCTCACTCTAGAGATGATTCTTTTACACTGATGAAACTCTAAGCTTTCGTTGCTCAAATTTTTCTTTCCTAAATCCTCCCAATGCAAGAATGTAGCTATATTATTTTAACAGATTTCTTAAAGAAAACTAATTCTGAACTTTTATCTATGATACGAGTTTTCAAACGAGTTAGCGAAAGCAAATAATCTGTTTCATCCAAGTCTTTAAGAAGAAAGGACTAGCATACGGCATCACGAGCATCCACACAGCCCTCCCAGCACAACAAAGACGGCTCAGGACTCGGAACTGACATGATAAGTGATAAACAGCTAACAGGCTAAGCACAGGTTTAGTCTGATTTGTTAAATGGCTGTCTGATCTTTCAGTTGTTTTATATTGAAATAGGATCTTATTATATAGCCAAGGATGGCCTGAAACTCACTGACTAGTCCAACCCAGCCTGGAACTACAGATCTTACTGCCTTTACCTCCTGGGTGCTGGGATTACAGATGTGTGCCACCACGCCCAGCTTAAAAATCTTTTCTTGCTTTTGTTTTTGTTGTTAGTACTGTTGAACCCAGGGATTCACACATGCTAGGCAAGTGCTCTACACTAAGCTATATCCTGAAGTCCTAAAAGAGCCTTCTAAAAAAAGTATTTTGTTTGTTTGGCTTTTTTCAAGACAGGGTTTCTCTGTAGCTTTGGAGTCTGTCCTGAAACTAGCTCTTGTAGACTAGGCTGGTCTCAACTCACAGAGATCCACCTGTCTCTGCCTTCTGAGTGCTGGGATTAAAGGTGTGCGCCACCACTGCCCGGCTCTAAAAAAAGTATTTTAATAACTCACTTTATCAAATGCAGAATGCCAAAAGAGGCCACACCAATACTGCACCTATTTAAAACATGCATGTGAAAAAGAATTCAAAGGCGATATGCAATAAAAACAATAAAAATGTTAAGGAAGATATATTGGAACTTTTTAACTTTTTTAATTTTTATATTTACAATGCTTTTTATATTTACTGGCTTCCCAAACATTAAGTACTCATTAAAAAGCATCAGATCTAGCTACACTTCTAAATCAGTGGTAACTATAAGAAGGAAAATTTAGTGCCACTTCTCAATTGCCAATCTTTTTTAAAAAATACAGAAAAAAACATTCTCACACAGAAAATTAAAAACTATATTATTTTTGGTGTAGTGTGATAATTTATCTTGACTGTCAATTTGACAGAATTTAGAATCACCATGGAAGCAAACCTCTGGGCTTGCCTGGAAGAACTTCCCGGATTAGGTTAAGAAGGAAGATCTACACTTCCTTGGCTCTGATCCTGGACTGAATAAAAAGGACACTGCCCACTCTGCTGCCTCAGGCTCCGGCCACCACCACTTCCCCACCATGGTCTCACTTCAGTAAGCAAGCCCTTCCTTTCCCGAATGGCCTCTGTCACAGCACCAAGGAAGCAACCAAAGTAGGAGGTAGTGACTTAAACTGAGAAATTACGAAACAGGTCTACATATTTAGTAGTTTTAAGTAATTCTAAACTTCTACTAGCTAAGAAAGTAATTAAAATTAAAGTATCTGGGCATAATTAGGTAAGTAACAACTCTTGTGACTTTTTTTATCTACAAAGTAAAAATCAATTAGTATATACCTCATAAGGCTATTATTGTAAGGATTAAACAAACTTGTAAAGTTTCTAATACATGTTGAAATTCAATAAGTATTATGGAAACAGTTCTGAATATAATGAACCATAAACAGTAAGGTCATCCAAGGAAAATTATTTCTAATATTTCTTACTAATGAACGATAATCCTGTATAATGTCCATGCAGAAAGAGGCTCCAAGAAATAACCACACAAAAAAATTTACAAAATCAAAAGACAATTCTACTCAGTCCTATGCAAATCAACTGACCATGAAAGAGAAAGCCAACCAAATAAACATTTCCAAAGAGTTTTTTAAGAACTCTGACCTCTCAGAAGGTGGCAGGCCTGGGAAGCTGCCCTCTAAAGGACTAGGACATTCTGGAACGCCATGTCTAGTGGGATGGCTTGAGGAGCTCTTCAGTCCACACAATGGAGCTAATGGGAGTTACAAAGCAACCACCATTGAAAGGCTCTGGGGACCACAGGACAGCCCCATGGGTCAAAGAACTGACATCAAGCCTGATCATCTAAGCTCCTTCCCAAAGACCCACAAGGTGGAAAAAGAGAATCTGTTCATGTAAGGGATACTCTGACTTCCACATGCACACCACTGGCACACATGCAGGCACAAACACATGTTCTCACTCAGAACATGTACACATACACACATGTACACACCAAATATAAACAAAATGCAATAAAAAGGAATGTTCTATGTGGTGGTTTGAAAGAAAATGGCCCCCAAAGGGAGTGGCACTATATGGCCTTGTTGGAGGAAGTGTGTCACTGTGGGTTTGGACGTCTCATAAATGCCCAAGCCACATCCAGAAAGGAAAAACCACTTTCTGTAGCCTGCATATCTCGGCTTCTCCACCACATGTGCCTGTATGCTGCCGTGTTCCACTGTGATGATAATTTACTAAACCTCTGAACTGTAAGTCACCTCATTAAATGTTTTCTTTTATGAAAGTTGCCATGGCCATGGTGTCTCTTTACAGCACTAGAAACCCTAACTAAAACACTCTGGAAAGGGGTTTTACGGCAAATAGAAAACAAAGAAACGTCTACCCAACCAAATTCAATAGTTAAAATCACGTTCTGTGACATCTGAGACAAGATCGTTTCTCTTTCCCCTCCCTCAGCTCAGTACGTTGGTGAGTCTACTCCAGACGGCTACAGTTACAGAGAGCATGGTCCCTTCTGCACAGCCCTTAGCCAGAGGACATTCTTTTCAGGAGAAGCAGGACTTCAGCTTATCCTCCTCACAGCTGCTTAATGCCAACTGAAATACCACAGAGAATATTTCCAATCCATAGTAGAATCCAATAGAAACAAATACCAAAAGGACCACAAAGACAAAAACAACAAAACCCTCTAAACCTCTAGTAACAAAACAGCGGCCCTCATGCATTCTTCCAGTTACCTGACTCCTGTTTGATCTGAATGGTAGGTTTGATGCCAGGTGGCAACGGTGACTGCTGTGGCTGCTGCTGCTGAGACACTGAGGAAGGCTGGGCCACAGGCTGCTGTGTCTGCTGCTGCACTTGCTGTAGCTGCTGCTTAGGAGACTGCTGATGCTGTTTAGGAAACTGTGCGAGAATCTGGGTAGGGGCACTCACTAAGCTTTTGGGGGAAGGAAGTCTTGTCGATGCCATTTTGATTGCTGATGTAGATACACCTACAGAAAAGTAAACAAGATTTAGGGCTTTTGGAATTTTCGGATTTCAGCTCAGAGGAAGCCACGGTACAACTTTCTTCAGTCCTTCCAAATTGGGTTCACCCGACACCAGCCGCCTCCACCATGCTGCCCAAGTACGACCCAACAAGATCAAAGCCATGTACTTGATGTGCACTGGAGGTGAGGTCAGCGCCATCTGCCTGGGCCCCAAAATTGTCCCCTTGAGTCTGTCTTCAAAAAAAGTTGGTGATGACATTGCCAAGGTAATTGGTGACTGGAAAGGTCTGAGGATTACAGTGAAACTGACCATCCAGAACACAGAGGCCCAGGGTGAGGTGGTGCCCTCTGCCTCTGCCCTGATCAAGAAGCCTCCAAGAGACAGAGAGAAGCCGAAGAACATTAGACACAATGGAAATATCACTTTCCACAAGATCGTCCACATTGCCAGAGAACTTTCTGGAACTATTAAAGAGATCCTGGGTACTGCACAGTCTGTGGGCTGCAATGTGGATGGCTGCCACCCTCATGACATCAATGATGACATCAACAGTGGAATGCCCAGCTAGAAGCAACAAGAGAAAATATTTCAATAAAAAACTATCTGAGAAAAAAACAAAAACAAAAAACCATTAGCCAACTAATGTCTTGGAAACACAAAGGATCAAATGTAAAGTCAACTATTATTTAAAAAAAAAACATTTACTAAGTACACTAACTATAGTACCTACTCTTGGTTATTATAGTCTTGCTTCATTAACAAGCTTCTAATTTTTCTGTAACCACCTTACTTATTTTCATTGTAGTTTAATTCTAGTACCACTGCTGGTTGCTAGTCTAACTCTTTCTTCCCTTTCTAACAAAACGCCGTCTTTCCCCTTGAAAACCCACAGTCCTGGGCATTGGCATACACTTCCAGGGAGGCCTGTCCCTAAGTCAGCTCTAGAGGATAATTCTCAATTGACCTAAGCTTGCCATGGTACTCCATTACTTTTCCGGCAATAAGGTAAAGCTAGTTATAGCCAGCATGCTATGAGAAGAATCTTCCTGGAGAACACCTAGGTAAGGTATTCTCTCTTTTCTAGGATTTTCTCATTTTCCTTTGGTATTTTCATGGCTATGATGCCTACAATATATGTATCTAACCAATAGCGGGGTTACCCAAAAAAGGAAAAAAATTCCTTACTGGCCCAATTATTCACCCAACTTAAGTGAAGACTTCTGTCTTATGAACTTCTGAAATAATAAAGCTTCTTAAAACACCAATCAGTCAATCGGTACTTATTTCTGTGTAGTCATTCATTCAATCACTCATCATTTATGCAAATAAATTTAGACATTAATCCAGTCAGACTCAGAATAAGTAATTTATTAGACATTTGGATGCACAAAAGAATGCAGGAAATACTACTAAATCAAACATATTAGTCCACCTTTGGAAGAATTATGAATGAAGCTACATTAATAATTTTGGTTAAATATGTGCTATGGTTTAAGTATACACCAGAATCCATGTATTAAAATTCAATCACCAATGTAAAGTCTTAAAAAGCTGGAAACTTCATCTGACTTAATGACGACAGTTTAGAAGCAGAGCCTTTAGAACACCATAAAACTAAGCAGGATAGTCAGGGAGAAACCCACGACTGAGTATCAGTGGCCTTTTAAGAGAAAAAGCACTTGGAGAAGGCACACATATGCACCCTTGCCTCTTGCCACGTGACCACTGTGTACTATCCTGAAGCTCTGAAAGCAATGTCATCACTAGATGCAAGTTCCTGAGCTTAGATTTTCAAACCATAAGCCAAATAAGCCATTCTCCATTATGAAGTTACCCAGCCTGAAATACTTCATTATACCAAATACAATATAAAATAGTTGAGAGCTGCAACAGGAACTTTAGGGAAAGAATGACACCCAAAAACCTTTTTTATGTAAGAAATTGTAAGTTGGGCCAAAGAGATGGCTCAGTGGGTGAGGTATCTGCTGTGTAAGCTTGACAGTCTGATTTGATACCCAAAGCCCACATAAAGGTAGAAAAAGAGAAGCAGCTCCACAAAGCTGTCTTCCTACCACCACACTGTAACACACACACACCTACGTGCACTCACATAAAGTACAAGTGAAGGAAGGGAACCACCACACTGTAACACACACACCTACGTGCACTCACATAAAGTACAAGTGAAGGAAGGGAACACATGAACGTAAGAGTACTGCTCACACTTCGTGTGTCTAAGAAAATACCAAAGGAAAGAAGCAGGAATGGGACAGCATACTAGTCAAACAGTTCCATTTTTTTTTTTAATCTTAGAAATTATTCTTGTGTGAGATGGGTCCACAGATAAAGGAGACTGTAACGCCTGAGGACTTGTGCTGGATCCCTATGACCCACACGGTAGAAGGAAAGAACCAACTCCCAAAAGTTGTCTCCTGACTTCCACATGTATGGCATGCATGTGTATACCGACACAAAAATATACAAAAACACATCCACAAACGACATAAATAAATAAATAATGCTTTTTAAAAAGGAAAGAAATGTTCTGTTTTATTTTACATTGTTCTATCAACAAAGATAACAAGGACTTACTATTAATCAGGCATTAGTGAGCTAATCTAACAATGTTCAGGAAGATAAACTGTGCACGGAGGACGCTCCCAGAAGTCCTATTCCTACTGGAGACTCTTGCTCCAGTGCTGGTGAGCGCAGTAAAATTCACCAAGACACTAATCTAGAATATTAAAACTAGGAAGTAATCTAAATGAAAAGTGAGTAATAAATGGCTCAACAGAAACAGAATTAAACCACGATGAAAATAAAGCGATTCTAGAAACTGGAAACATGTCAATGGTGCAAAACTGTAAGAAAATGCTATCAAGTGGAGTAGGAACTTTCTATTACAGAGACACTGACAACATGGCCAGACTCTCTTAAACAGGAAATGTACTACGATACTACTGCAGGCAACTGGTAGACTGCTTTTTATTTTTCTACTGTTCTCTAGAATTCCTGAATCCACTGGTTTCAGGCTTTAAAAACTTTAAAAACATTGCTCAGACGTTAAATGTGGACAATCATAAAATTGGGAGGACAGGGAAATCTGACAAGGAGAGAACCCATGGAGTAAGAGAGAACAGAGATTTTTTTCAGAGCTGGTCTAAATATAATGAAAGAAGCAATACCAGGAGATACACAGAATTGGAAGCAATGTACTACATAAGCTGAAACAGGCTCGAGATAGGAGACTTAAGGTCAGCAGAAGACTGTCACACTATTGTGAAAGGAATTCATGAAATCCATAGAAAACATGAGGAAAACCACAAAATGAAAGAAAAAAAACTTCTTACCATGTAAGAGAAGGTAGCAACAGAATAAAAAATGCAACCAACCAAACTAATTTGCAATGGCCCATTCTTTGGTCTTTGGAGAGCAAAAGAACATACGTGAGATAACCAAAAAGTTAGTTACAGCTTCCACTCTTGAGCAAAGATTCAGAAGAACCAAATAAGAAGCAATCCTCTAACAATAAACTGTTTTCAAACACACAGAAAACATACCAATTCACACCTCTATGATACCAGCACCAGACTTTCAAATACCAAATCACACACGCACAACAGCATGTACAATATGCTGTGAACCTTCCTCTAAGGAAAAGTGTGTGTCTTATTTGCTTCCATGTTTACAAATGGAAGATGCAAGAAAGGACAGACAAGGTGCAGGAGGTAGAGAAGAGAAAACTGCAAACACTTCATTCTCAGGCTAAGGAAGGGTGAGCAGGGAAGTCTTTGCTGACCTAACACACATTCTCTCTCTCCCTCCCTCCTTCCCTCCTTCCCTCTCTCCCTCCCTCCCTGTTGACTTCAAAAATCCCCCACCACAGGGACGGAATTAAACAGTGGCTCACCACTCACCTTGTGCTACTGTTGACATGACCACAGACGGTGTGGAAGACACCACAGCTGTCACTGCAACTGTACTAGAAACAGGCGATGGCGTGGAACTGCTGTTGCCACTGCTGCTACTGGTGACCAGAGAGGACTGTGATGCAGTTATAACAACAGGTGGCTTCTGAGTTGTGGACGCAATGACTGATGTTGGTACAAGCTTAGTGACTGCTGCATAGTTATGGGATTTGGAGAGAATGTTGGGCACGAAGGTTGAACTTGGTGATGTGGTCACTATAATAACCTAAAGGAGGAAAAATAAGTTATTTTCATGTACCTACTATATACTATCAGTGTATTCAAACTCATATAATTTAAAACTAGTTTTGCAATAGGAAAAACAACTCAACACAGAGGAATACACAGCTAATTGAATGCATATGAACACTTTCCTTTACCGGCAACCATCAAAACTACACCAATTTTCAGCAAGTAATTTAAGAGGCACTGTTCAGTATTGTGCATAATGTGGCTGGCTCTGTAAGCATCTCAATACACCATTTAGGGAATAAATCCACACCATCACATGAGCAAGTAATCAGGAGATGTGCTCACTTGTAAATAATACTTATTGAGCATCTACTATGTGCCAGGCATGGTTCTAGATGCTGGGAACAGAAGAATGAACAAAACCCACTTGCATGGAGTCTACATTCTATTGTAGAGAGAGAAATAAAAAAACACATGACAAGTAGAAATAAATGGAAAAGACAATAATCCAGGGTAAAGAAAGAAGGATGGTTAGAGTGTATAAACTACTCAGTGAAGATCTCTCTGTAAGGTGACAGGTGACATCTCAGCAGAAACCAGAATGAGGTCAGGATATGAACCATGTGAATGAGGTCAGGGTATGAACCATGTGAATGAGGT